CAGTTGTCTCCTAAACTTCTCCCCAACAAACACATACAGGATGGGATTGAGGCAGCTGTGAGAGTAGGCAATGACCTCTGTGATTTGTAAAGCCCATGTGATGGCTTTGCTGCTTTCGCATCCTGTGTGGACTTGTAGTAGCTCCAGAGCTTTGAAGAACGATGCAACGTTGTAGGGAATCCAGCAGAACAAGAAAACACTTACCACTACAACAACTAAACGGACGGCCTGCTTTTTGGATGACTGGCTATTCAGCAGCCTCCAGATGATCTGGGAGTAGCAGAAACCCATGATGAGAATGGGGACAAATAAACCCAAAATGTTCATTTTAAAAAGGCTGAAGATTCTCCAGAAGTGATTGCTGGTAGAATTTATTTCAGAATAGTCAGGGAAGCAGTGATACTGAGATGTATTATTTATCTGCTGCTTGAGAAAAATCAGGTCGGGAAACGAAGCCAAAAATCCAGCCACCCATGTAACAGCAGCTGCAATCACTCCAAAGGTCCTTGTACGGACTTTCATGGCGTAAACAGCGTGCACTATGGCCAAGTACCGGTCGATGCTCATGAGACTGATGAAAAAGATCCCACAGTAAAAAACAATATGATAAATGCCCAGGACCACCTTGCACATGCCATCCCCAAACAGCCACTGGTCCCGGGCTTGGTGGGCTAGGAAGGGAAGGGAACACACCAAGAGAAGGTCAGCGATGGCCAGGTTCAGCAGGCACACGTCAGTCATGCTGCGGAGTTGTGCCCCACAAGCAATGACCCAGATGACCAGGGAGTTACCCACGAGGCCCAGGAGGAAGAAAATGGAGTAGAGGGCTGGAAGGAATCTGACCCCATGTCTCCCGTAGTCACAAGGTATATAGCTATCAATGTCACCATAGTCAGGATAGTCGTATTCAGTGCTGGTCTCATGGAGCGAAGATGTGGTATAGCTGGTCGGACACAAAAGAACAAAACCAAATGATCAGGGTCAGTAGTTGTTTAGTTGCCTGTATTCAATGGAAGCACCTGTTGAATTAAATATATGAGCAAGCGTTGGAATAACACCAGAAGCACTAAGATATAGCATCCAGGGCCAAAAGTTGTACTCAACAGGAGACCTTGTTATGTTTAAATTTATCAATGCAATATATAATAAACCTCTACATGTGTGACAGGTTTCAAAACATATGGAGGCTTGTAAAGTTGCAACCTTGCATATAGTTTTCTTATCAAGGTGGGGACACAATTCCCCAACCTCTGCCAGTCAGTATTTCAGGCAAAAGCTCTCACAATGGACCAAAGTCTGTGGCTCAGTGTGAGAGTCTGTGTCTGTAGAGTGCAGTGGCTGTTCTAGACAATATTAACTGGGGGGCCCAGGCTGGGGCCAATTGTTCTCCTATGGGAGCCAGTTTTTGTAGTCACTGTATTGTTATGGGCATTAAACAGCAAAATACAAGGTTCAAAACCATATTGCATTTTATTTTCATGGAAGTTTCTTCCAAAAAGATAAATAATGCACATTGAAGGATTTAACACTCTATGGCTCAACAAAGTTAAACACAATTTGTCAACACGTTATTTATAGTCTTTAGTCAAGCAAGTTATTCAATTTCTATCAATTATTTCTGTCAACTTTACACAGCAGGTTTTCTTGGGTCATACAAACATTTAAAGAAATGTACATTCAATACAGACTGAAAAAAAGAAAACTGCTCAGCATGTTATTTCTGCTGCACTTTAGTTTGTTGCGTCAACGGAATTCTGCGGTTTTTATGGTTTCTTGCAAAGAGGTCAACGAATGCATCAAGATTCAAAGACTTTGCCCTTCTTGACTCAGTACTTAAAACACCTAAATTACTCAGTCTGTCATCTGCCATAGTGGACCTGAGGTAAGTTTTCACCAGCGTCAGAGTTGAAAAACTTTGTTCACAAGAAGCAGTACTAACTAGAATTGATACTGCTATTTTGCAGTTTGAAGAGCTCAAAAAAACTTCTTTATCAGACTCAATGAACCACGTTAGCTCTACAACATTAGAGGGTCTCTGCATACCATCATGTATTTTTCTGTGTAAAATTCATCTGAACTGATGTAGTTCATGCCCCAAATCCTCAATGTTTGAATCATACATTACAGCAAATGCAAACAGAGCCTCCTCTTGGAGTAATGCATCACTGTTGGGGTTTAGTGTTTGGATTCCATTCATAATGGTGCAATTTCTGCTTGAGAACTGTGTGTTAAGTTCATTTAGCAGCTGATCTAAGACTGGGTAGAAAAAGGCTGTGCGAAAATATTCTTTACCTAGTGCTGACTCTGACACTGTCTGACCCACAGTAGTGAGTACACAGTACCCATTAAGTTGAGAGCTTAGCGTTTTTTGGCTGCACTGCAGTAGCACATTGCTCACCAATGTTGAGCACTTCATCCCACAGGTTATCAAAAAATGACTCAGCAATGGAGTCAATGAAAGTTTGAATTAAGGCCATAACTAAATCAACTGCCTTTAAGAAGTCAAGGGATGGAGACTGCAGCATATCTGACAGAAACTTTGCTTCTCCAAAAACCTTGCAGAATGTAAAAAGATAGACAATGAATTGTAAGTCTAGCTGTGCAAGAAGACCTTGTGCCTCAACAGATCTGTTACCACTGGATTCTTGGGCTACCTCTTGCAGGACTTGCTTAATGGCACGCAATCTATCCCTGATGTTACGTAGAGCCAAATATCGACATGCCCAGCGAGTGGAGTGTCACTGAGTTTCTGAAGCCCTCGAGGTGCACCTTCATACATCTCTTGTTGTACATAAAGTCATTTTTGATGCACATACGATCCAGATGTGAACATATACAGTCTTTCTAGTAAAGAGAAAAACTGCTCTGCCTCAGGAACAGCTTTAACAGTGTCTACTAAAACCAAATGAAGACAATGTGCACTGCAGTGGATATAAAAAGCATACTTTGCTTGCTCTTTAATGCATGCCTGGACGCCTGAATGCTTGCCACTCATGATGGAAGCACCGTCACAAGCTTGACCCACAAGGTTGTCTCTGTATTGAAGACCATGACTTTCTAATATATGTGTAATTTTGTCAGTTAGCCCTGCTGCATCTAATCGATCAGATGATTCAAAGTGGAGGACACTCTCGTGGACAGCTCCACTGAAATAGTACCGCAGGACCAGAGACATTTGCTCTTTTCCCTTCTCGTCTTTTGTTTCATCAGCCAAAATGCCAATGACCTCACTGTCCTTAACCTCTCTTACAATTTCTGTTCAAACCATGTCTGCCAAGCAACTCAAAACCTCATTCTGAATTACTTTACTTGTATATTTGGCATTATTAATGGAAGTCAACCTTTTTTTCACAACATTATCATGATTGGCTATTGTTTCTAGGATTGCACGGAAATTCCCTTTATTATCTGAATCTGCAGATTCGTTTCCTCTTTGTGCTATGTTTTGTGTGGCTGTAAGTAGCAGCACTTCAACAGCTGCTTTAAAATAGTCCCGATTTTCTTGAACTTGTTTGTTGTGTTCCTTGATTAGGGAATTTAACAGTGTTTAATTTGTTTTAACAGCTTTCTGATAGTCCATCCATGCAGTCATGACTTGCTTGTGTCTGTCAGACTTAGTATGAACTGCAAATCCTGCATCTTTGTAAGTCGCCTTCTTCCAGTTGTTGAATCCAGAAGTAGAGTCAAATACTGTCTCTGAGCTTCTGTTGGGGGGACTAAAATGTCTGCAGGCGTAGCAAGATGCAGAGTTTGAACTTTCGGAATACTCAAGCCAGGGGTGGCTATTGTACCAGGCTGCTGTAAAAACTCCTTTTCCGGCTCCCCATCTGAGTCCTTGGGTACAATTTCAAAACTGGCTGCACTGGTGAGTCATTTTGACATTTGCTGTTTAATGTCATTTTGCGGTACATACCAGATAAGAGAGCGTTTCTTCGGGATCCAGTAACTTAAAGCAATTTAAATGAAGTGGTGTAGTATGTCCAAATCACAACTGAATGCCGCAATTTTAGCGACGTTCACTGTCCAGGTAAAATAAAATTTAACAAAACAAACAGGAATTTTTTGCGCTCTCCATATTGCTCGTCTAGTGACCATTGGCTGTACACTACTTTTCATGGTGCGTTGTGGGATATTTTGAGTGCACTACATAGGGTGTAAGATTTGTAACTTAACATTCGGACACCCTTACAAAATGGCGTGCACCCTATAGAGTGCACTATATAGGGCATAGGGAGTGATTTCGGACACAGACCAAGTTCAGGGGGGGGGGGCAGGCTTGTCGTCGGGGTGGCACCGGCCCCCCCGACCCCTCCCCAGAACCGCCACTGGTAGAGTGATAGAAATCACAGAGGATATTGTTGATCAGCAAATGACACACTGATATACAAAACAGAAATGCTCCGCCAGCTGCTAATTGAAACCGCTAGAAGTGGAGAAGAGAAGTGGTACGAGTAAGGCTAGACAGGGGAGGCTGACAAGGACACTTTCCAGACTTGATGACATCATTAACAAAACAGCAAATGAAGAAAATGTGGATGGTCGGCAGTAAGCTTGACTTTACCTCTGTAAGATTTCCGTAGATAGATTCCCCATGACAGCAGAGACAGTTGAAGCCATGTTCAGCCTTGTAAAAAATAAAAAATTTTAAAAAAGGGAAGAGAAAAAAACACTTATGACTCACATGGGCGCAGGTTTTTGGTGGGTTGCAGGAGATTTGTCTCCTTCTTGAAACATATGCGCTTGTTCCCACTAAGAAAAACATTTATAAGCAACGGACTTCTATTTTGAAGAAATCACAGACATCTCCACAGTGTCTCCTGGCAATGGTTTTTAAGTTTACTGTTACGAGTGCTGTGTTTTGTTTTCCAGAATTATTTAGGGTTTAACAAAGTTTATTCTCTAGTAGATTTGACCACTGTTCTATCAACTATGGCTGCATTGGGTTGTATTCTTGCTTTCAGTTCACTGCAATAACATAGAAATTGGCATGATTAGGAAAAAACATGTTTTGTTTTGACTGTGCAGAAAGTTTTGAACCCTGCATTTAATGTTTCTCACTCAAGGATAAAATGAAACCTATGCCCACGCACCCTCCAAACTCACATTAAAGACATCTTTCATGCAACACTGACTTTCTGTGCTTCATTTGAATTGCACATTATTGTACAGGCGCAAATGACGTGTACACAAAGAGCTGAAGTTGCATAAACAGAAACGCTGCATAAATAAAAACAAATGCGAAAAGAAAAAGCTGCGTCACAACACGTTAGTGCCACAGGCCTCTAGGGGCAGTTTTCAAGTCTGTAGCTTTTAGTCACTGTGATTATATGGTGCTGAAGTGGTGTTTTACTACCATCTCCCTGTCTTCTCTCTGTTATTTATGTTTATCCATAGAGACGACAGAATACATACCTTTTCATGCTGCTGTTCCCTCAAGTAACGTCACTTGTCTCGCTCACCGCTGTCTGCCTATCACGTGAAACGGTCACTACTGCTAGAGGCCTGTGGCACTTCTTCTTTTTGCAGCACGTCTGTTAATGCAACGCATTCATGTCTATGTAGCTCGTTTGAGTATGCACGTCATTTGACCCTGTCGGCCACCGTAGGAACAAAATTTATAAAGTGCACAATTTTGTTGTTGTTGTACGTACTTTTTCTTTTTTTATTTTCAAGTCGTCCTCAAATTTATTCAAACCCATCCATTAAAGAAAAGGCAAAATCAGCAAAATCACTCAAATAACTCCAAACTGAAAAAAGTAATAATAAATAAAAATTTGTTAAATTATATTTTAGTGAAATAAGACATTGCTTTTGAATTGTGGTTGAAAAGAATAATTACAAAAAAAACCAAAACAAAATAAAACAAAACAAACAAAACTGTCCCGGACAATTTAGAGCACTTTGCTGATGAGCAGTGGGCCAAAATCAGAATACCTGTCAACAGGTGCAGAAGACTGATGGAGAGTTACAGAAAACACTGGATTGCAGTGATTGGCTCAAAGGGTTGTTCAACAGGAGAGTTTTAGAAAGATGACACATAGAAAGTGCGAAGGCAGAAGTTGGAAATCTAAGTCCCTATTTTGTTTCATTGTACATGTATGTTTTATAGTTATTTTATACAAAATAAAAATCAGCATTTAACAGCAATACATTGTATGTATATTCATCTTTGGCTGAGTAAGAAAAAAAAAAATTGAAATGCATACAGCCAGTGTAGTCGTCACTCTGTCATTAGTACAATAAAGTGTTTAGCACTCTGTTCGAGTCGCTTATGGCTTTATACTTAAACCACATTGAGTAATAAACCTCATAACTCACAGTCTCTTGTAACATATGAACTAATAATAATTCTGCATTTACAACTCAGCACTTAAATTATGTTACAGTATTAATCTGGTCATTTCAGAACTTGTTGAGATCTTTATCCTGATTGACTAATAAAGACACAATAGAAATGAATTGTTAATGAATGTGTTTGTCTTTTCTCCCTGTTTACAGAAATAAACATGTCAAGTGTGTAGAAAAACTGTTGACACTTTATGTCACCAAAGAAAAAACCATGCAAAGTGAAGAAAAATAAATAAAACCTTTACCTGCTAGTGCTGCTACTCAAATAGTTGATAATGGTGTTCATTCTGGAGCTTAAGCTGCTGAGGCGGATGGCCAAATTGAAGAAGTTATCAGCTCTGAGTCCAATTTGTTTACACGCGATTAACAAGACCTGAGAAATGCGTTGTTCGTAAAGAAAGAGAATGTGTTGAAGTTTCAACACCTTTTTAAGTATAGCCCCATCCCCAAACCAAGTGTCAAAGGGGCTTGTGGGCATATGTATGAACGATATGGTTTTTGGCTTCCTGTTAAAACTTCTGAAACCTAATATTCAAGCGAAAGAACATGAACCTCATGGACTTTACACTGTCCGTTGTAATAAAATGATGCAAGAAAGAGTATTTAGTTGCTGTTTTTATTTTACTTGAACAAACTCTGTAGTTTACATGTTAAATACATGACTACATGATTTAAATACGTCTTATAAATTTGTTTTATTCAACGCACTTTTAAAATGAATCAATCTCTTATTTGTCTTAATGTTTTATGCATCATTTTGATTCAGTCAGCAGCTGAATTTTGGGCCTGTATGACCAAACACTGTCTTTGCAAGTCAAATGAGTTGTTTTTCGATGATACAGGGACTTTGCTCTGCAGACTTCTTGTCAAATGATGATAAGCTTCCAAGAACGACAGCATGAAAATGGTTTTGTCACTTCAAGAGTTACGCACTGCTGTATGATTATCTAACTTTCAAACACACACACACACACATACACACACACACACACGCAACAGAACAGAACAGTGTAAAGCTCAATGGACTGTCCATTGTAATAAAACGATGCAAGAAAGAGTATTTAGTTTTCTAGTTTTATTTTACTTGAACAAACTATATAGTTTTACATGTTAAATGCACAGGAGATTGCATGATTTGAATACATGCCTTATAAATTTGTTTTATTCAACGCACGTTTAAAATGAAGCAATCTCCGTTACTATCTGCACACAATGTTACATTTCTCAGAAGCATGAATCATAAGCACTAAATCACACATGCACATGTGTAAATGCACAATTTGTCCTCTTTGTAGTTTCTGAACTTCAAAAAAAAGATATTAATACAGCACCCACCACCACTATGCAGATGACACCTTTCTAATCATCTGATCTAACAGGTGTGTAGGAAGTCTCTCTAAACGTACACAGACACATGCGCACACAATTTGTCCTCTGTATAGACACTGGTGGCTTTAATTCATGAAACATGTCCTCCCTAGAAACAGGATCGACTCTGTCCTTTCTATTAGCTTAAGAGTTCCCAGCAATTTCACTGTAAAAGTTATTCTCTGTGGCATGGTGACAAGCTCTTAAGAGATACAAGGATCTGTTTGTGCATTTGAGGAGCCCTATATCTGCTTTCTCTGTTTTTACCTTTAATCACGATAAGCACATCTTTATGAATGAAGCTTCGTTACACAGAACTGGGTGTCGCAAGATTAGAGTAGATGTTCCTCTCTGACTGATTGTCATGCTAAGAAAAACAGCCTATAGGTGATAAGCAAGCTCCAAATAAGGGGG